TATCTTTTGAAATTCAAATGATGATTCAACCTGGGTCATGTAATCCTTAGCTGTTGCAACATTGCCTAAAAGGGGAACATTGGAGGCCAATTTCGGACCAATTCCAACGAAATGTTTATTAAGCGAATTTGCAATGTCAAATGACTCGGTTAAGATTTCTCCTGAGTCAGATGACAGCGTGTTTATTTCGATGTTATCCGATTTCTTTCCCAACGCATTATTTAAAATTTTCCATGTTTCTTTAACATTATTTACATTTCTGTTGAGTTCGTCTTGAAAATATGCCTTTTTCGCTTTTTTGATCTTATTATTTACAAAATTTCTTTGCTGCTTATAAGCAGACAAAGATTCAGAATTATTGGATGAAATAGCCTTTTTCTTCAGTTTATCTCTATTTATCATTAAATATTTGAGTTCTGAATTAAGCCAAGGACTAGGTTTATTACGAACTCTGAAACTACGTACAGGCGCGTGTTTCTCAATCACTTCACTAAAAACAGATGTCCATGTATCGCATGCATCATTGACATCATCAAACTCATTAATTATAGGCCAATGAGCAGATTTTAGGTCCTTTATGAATTTAGATTCACTAAAGTTTTTAAAGTTTCGACATTCAATATATCGTGGTTTACCATTACGTATGCCAATTTTCCGTACTGCGTAAATTAAATAATGGTCACTTATTGACAGAGGGTAAACTCCCGAATTGATAATAGAATCAGATTTGTTAGTAATTATTAAATCAATCAATGTTTGCGAAGTGCTATTTACTCTGGTTGGGTCAACAATGATTTGATTCAGTTGATAGTTAACTAATAAATTATTAAGGTGTTGTGTATGACACTCAGGGGGATTTAATAGATAATTACAAGTCAGGTCACCTAAAATGTAAATTTCTTTGTATTTACTATCAATTGTTTTGTAAAGATTCTCAAATTGCTCAAAACATTGTAAAGGACTTTTCGGTGGTCTGTACCACGCTATAATAAGAAAAGGTTGAGAATAAGGCTTTATAACCTCAATTACAATAATTTCCAAATTTTGATCTTCTAACTCAAAGCGCCTTTTGTAGTTTATTGAGTTACGAATATAAACGCAGACCCCTCCACCATGTTTATTACAATCTCTTCGTTCTACTATATAGCCAGTTAATGCAATAAGATCGTTAGATAGATAGATAGATAGATAGATAGATAGATAGATAGATAGATAGATAGATAGATAGATAGATAGATAGATAGATAGATAGATAGATAGATAGATAGTAGATAGATAGATAGACAGATAGATAGATAGATAGATAGATAGATAGATAGATAGATAGATAGATAGATAGATAGATAGATAGATAGATAGATAGATAGATTGATTGATTGATTGATTGAAATCTTTATTTAAACACGGTGGTTTTATCAAATGGAATAAATAATAATTATTTACAATTTGTTCTTCC